AGATGTGGAGGAGCAAAGAGTGGCCCTCCCCAGAGCCTGGTTTTAAGCAATGAACCTGGTTTTGATCCTCTGCCTCAGTGGGCACTGAGGTCCCATTTCAAGCAAGAGTTGATTTCTTAGGTGCTTCTGCCTCATTTTGGACCCAAGGCCCGACAGACCTCCTGCTTCAGCCCTACTCATGATTTATCTTTCTGCCCCATTTCTTATTGTGAAATTTTTATCTTATTTTTGAGTACAGCTATGTCGTTCTGTTTTCTCATTTTATATTTTGTTTATCATTGGTATCATTGAAGCAAAGATAGTGATTGGAGCATAAACTTATAATGTGGCCTCGACAGAATTCTCCTGCTAATTACTAAGCCAGGCCTCAAGATGCAAAAGTCTTTGTCTACGTGGAAAAATTTAACATTCAAGGATGGGGCAGGGACATGCCAGATGTTGATTCAAAATCTGTGTTTTGTAGGGCTGCAATGTTCGACGTTGGCCCACATGTCATCCCTAAGGACATTTTGTTCAATGTTGCCACTAATTATGTGCCTGGCCATTGGAAGTAGTAGTGGCCAGTGACCATCACAGAGCTGACCCCAGGTGACCCAATACTTAATGATCCCTTTGTCTGGTAGAATCACCCTTCCCTGAGGTTTCTGGTTAAAGAAAGTGGGAGAGAACTGTTGGGAAGTAAACACATGTTTAAAATGTTAAAGCAAAGCTTCAGAGATTGATTTACCTTTGAACTCATAAGGACGTGTAACCCAAACTAGGAGTTTGTTGTAACGTGGCAGTGATGGGGCATAGGGGAGCTACATGGAAAGCCAGCAAATAACTACCACACACCAAGTCTTCCTGGGGGGATGATTTTACCATTAAATTTGGGTGAAAAAAATTATTTTTACATTAAAACAAATGCAGATACAGAGCACTAATACTAAATTTATGTGAGCTTTTATAACAAAATACCAGTCTTCAAAGAAATGAGAAGAAATTGCTATCTTTGAGTCCTTCACTTAGAATCTCCAAAGTTCATTCTTCTGGACTATTAAGATATTTTGGTGGAAAAGTTAGAGAGGAATCATCACAAGTGAAGGAAAAGCACGACTAAAACGTGGAATGAAAATGTCCATTCCCTGCTCATTCACTGGGTTCAGTTTCTATTTCCCTACTCCATAACCAAGGGTGTCAGGTCCCAAGGTAGAAGTCAGTGGTTGTGATATTCTGTTTAAAGACTAGAGTTTAGTGGTCTTCACCCCAAACATTTTTACATTATCTGAAAAACTGAGCAAAGCAGGAAGTACACCCTCATAGTTTAATATTCTACCCAAAAGCATACCAATAGAAAATTGTTCCCTTCCTTTCCTTTCATTCACACTAAAAAAAAGTATTTTCCCTGTCCCAAGTCTTTGTAGCCCTCCCGTGATCACCATACCTCCAAATGGAAAGCATGAAACCCGTGATGGGAAAAGTGGAACAGTCTTTGACATTAAGACTGTCCCAGAAAACACTTGATGTATGTGCATTGGAATCGTGCCACTGAAAAAGGTGGTTGAAGAGTAGAAACAGTATATAGCCTTCTGCAAAATGGCAAAGCAGGAGAAGGAAGTCTCAAATGAGCTAATCTTATCACAACACCTGGCATTACTGAATGATTAATAAAGGGTAGCTAGAATGCTCCCATACTCTGTTGTGTGCACCAGGCTTCTCTTTTGGTGTTCTACCATCTCTTCCACCATTGTATGTTTTCCAGAACTCTCAGTCCTCTCTCATATAACAAGGGCTCCTACTGACAGAGGGCCCTACTGATCATTCATTCCTTCACCTAGTCAGTCATTCATCTTTCCTTTATATTCTCTCTTCCATGTTAGCAACTTTCACCATAACAGCTCTAGAAAAGTGATGCCACTTTATTTGTGATCTTTTGTTCTTTGTTTCTTTCTTTTTTTTTTTTTTTGAGTGTAACAAGCTTTTCACTCAAAAACTCACTAAATAAGTAATGAACAAGAAGAAATATTTCTTCCTTGGGATTTTAAGCTAAGACCCACTCACCATTTTCCTTGGCACAACAGTTTATTGTGGGGAATATTATTTGGAACAAATTTAAATTGTGAGCCATGTTGGGTTAAACCCAAGACATTTTGTTTTATGTACATACGCCAAATGAGAGGACCAAGAGGCAGTATCATCCATGGACCTTTGATCTGCTGTGCACGTGCACTGTTTCCATGTATTTCAAAGCACTCACATGTTTAGCTTTTATGTTGCCCTAGAGGTATTTTTCTGTGCTATAATTTTATTTTTAGTTCAGCATGAGTGCAAAAGTCACCAAAAGGTTGAGAAATTGAAAAAGAAAGAAGAAAAAAGACTGAGTACAGCAAACCTATAATGTTAACTTTTATGTATAAACTATATTTAACTTTCAAACTGTTGTTTATTACTTAAATTCTTTTTTTATTGTTCAATTGATATATTTTCCTTTTTTTTTTTTTTTTTTTTTTGAGACAGAGTCTCACTTTGTTGTCCAGGCTAGAGTGAGTGCCGTGGCGTCAGCCTAGCTCACAGCAACCTCCTGGGCTTGAGTGATCCTTCTGCCTCAGCCTCCCGAGTAGCTGGGACTACAGGCATGCGCCACCATGCCCGGCTAATTTTTTTATATATATATCAGTTGGCCAATTAATTTCTTTCTATTTATAGTAGAGACGGGGTCTCGCTCTTGCTCAGGCTGGTTTTGAACTCCTGACCTTGAGCAATCCTCCCGCCTCGGCCTCCCAAGAGCTAGGATTACAGGCATGAGCCACAGCGCCCGGCCTCTTTTTTTTTTTTTTTTTTTGATAGATTCTTGACAGTCTATGATATATTTTTCTATCTGTGAAAATTGTTTGGTATCTTGGGGTGGGATACAGCATAATGTTTTCCATTAAAATAAATAGAATTATTTTTATTTTCATGTAACAGCTTTTGACTTAGTAGCAGAATTTTAAGAAACAAATTAAAGTCATTTTGTGGGAAATGGGTATACTATGTTCAGGGCACCCTATGAGGCAATGGAGATCCAAAGACAAATTGAACGCAGATCCTGCTTGGAGCTCATAATCTAATAAGAGAAACTGATGGGTAGACAGACAACTTAGAAAGTAATGCCATACTAAAAGATGCAGGGAGAAAAGTTTTGTGCAATCAGAAAGAGGATGAACTTTAAGTGGATATGTGGATTTGGGGTAGGGGGAGATAATCTCTCCTTCAGCAAAACAAAAGAATTTGTATCTTATTCCTTTAGGATTTTGCAAATTAACTAGACTGCTAATCTGTAACAAAGTAATATAATGTGAGGCATTAGTGGTCAATAATTAGCCAACTGTCTCCTAGGCAACTCCACTTGATTGTCCCACAAAGACCTCAAACTCAACTCATCCAAAACTCAATTCTTCATTCTCGCCTACAAATTGGTGATTTCCACAGTTGTCCAAGTCAACAAACCAGGAGACATCCTCATCCTCTCCCTTGCCATTACTCACCAAATCTGATTTCCAACACTTGTCAATTTTTCTTCCTAAATTTATCTGGAATCTGACTACTTCTCTCCATCCCGTTACCACTCTCCTGCCCCAAGCTACTTCCATCTCTGCCCGGGACTCTTATCTCCCTTCCTCGGTTCCCTTCAATTCATTTTAGAAATACCACCTTTGAGAGTCGTACTTCTAAAATATAAATCTTTTTTTTTTTTTGAGACAGAGTCTCACTTTGTTGCCTTGGCTAGAGTGCTGTGGCATCAGCCTAGCTCATAGCAACCTCAAAATCCTGGGCTCAAGCAATCCTGCCTCAGCCTCCCAAGTAGCTGGGACTACAGGCATGTGCCACCATGCCTGGCTAATTTTTTCTATATATTTTTAGTTGGCCAATTGATTTCTTTCTATTTTTTAAGTGGAGATGGGAATCTCACTCTTGCTCAGGCTGGTTTCGAACTCCTGACCTTGAGCAATCCGCCCGCCTCCCAGAGTGCTAGGATTATAGGTGTGAGCCACCGCGCCCAGCCCTAAAATATAAATCTTATGTCTCTTTCCCGACAAAAGACCTCCCATTGTCCTTGGATCAAGGTCATGAATGTGGATATTCAAGGCCCTTTAAGATTTGCCCTGTGCCTTCCTTCCAGCACTCCTGGGCTCCTCTGCTGCCTTCATGTGCCTTCCTTCTTTCCATCCTTTCATGGGGCACCATCTCTTACACCAGGAACTTTGCACTTGTTATTCCCTCTTCCTGGAACATCCATGTCCTGCCCATTTCCCATTCTTGCTTGGCTACCTCCTACTCAGCATGGGCCCCAGCCACTCCTTGATGTTCTGACACTGTGTTATGTTTTCTTCCCAGCACCCTTTAATTCTCCTGTCACAGCACTAATCACGCTGTATGCAATTGGTTATTTTCCTCCTTTTTTAGACGGCAGGACCTGGGAAGGCAGGGGCTGTGTGTGTCCTGCTCACCATTACGGCCCCAGTGCAGAGCCCAACGCTGGTATGGGGGGAGGGGGGCAATCTGTTGAAGAATGCATGAATGAATGAGTTGCTTCCTTTGCAAGTAATTGTAGAAAATTGTCTTTAACTCAAAGAAATGGATTATTAAGAAGTATATTTTAGATAACTGCAGCAGGTATGGAGGAGGTATATCTGAAAGTGCCATCCCCCAGTGTGGGCTCTTCTTGGTTCTTAAAGGGCTGGGGCACTAGTTCCCAGTTCCCTGTGGGGTTCCTCTGCTTCCTCCCCACATCACCTCCCCACCTGCTTCCATGACCTGACCACTCTCTGGATCTTGCTAGAACTTAACCACCCCCCTAGAATCGTAAAGCCTTCCCTTGGGGCTGCTGGGTTACTCAGAGCCAGCATGGGGACTGGTGTCCACCTCCAGGAGCATGTCCAGGAGCTGGAACCTGGAAATCGACCTGCTGAACCTCATAAAACCCCAAGAGCTGCTGAGTGACCCAACAGGTCTCCATACCAACAAGATACAGAAGGAAGCACAATGAAAGATAACTTTAATGACGGATATTTAAATACCACCAGGTACAAAGACAAAGCAGGAGTATTTTGGTTTTATGATACTTGACATACTCCCAGGCAGATCTGTTCCCTCTTTAAAGCAGTGAAGTAGGGGCATTACAGTTTATAACCTGCCTCTCTCAATTGGGAGACCAGAGAACCAGTTCGTTGACTTCCCCATTCTTGCTTTTGGAACTGTTAGTGGCTGCTTAGGGGAAATCTTAGGAGCTTGTCTATCAGCACCATGACTAATTTATGGTTTCCAGGGCAACTTCTTACATTGCTGAGTAGTTCAAATTGGTGGAGAGCAACCCTGGGATTGCTCTATTTGCTCTTAGTTCCATTCCTGCCTTTCCATGCTCTGCTCTACAGAACCAGCTACATCATTTGCGGAGCAAAATAAAAGCACAAGACTCCTTGTTCAAAAAGGATTCAGAATTTCTTGACAGTGACAGCAGAACATCAAACCAAGCGCCGGGCTCTTCTAAGGATGGGGCCCTGTGTGACTGTACAGAGAGAATGCCCACAAAGCCAGCCTGCTGCTCGGCATCATAGGTAGATGGGCCCCAACAGTCTCTTCCAGACTCTCTGACACCTTGCTTCCGGTCAGGTTCAGCCAGGAGAGGCACTGGTGGGAGGGGCCACCTAGAAGGCAGGAAGGAAGAAGTCACTTACCCTTCTCTGTTTCCGGTGAAGTCTCCCAAAACATGTGGCCCTTGGGCTATAGTTTGAGGACCCCTGAACTAAATCCTTAAAATAAGGTTTATCCATTGATCCAGCTTTTCAACTTTGAAGGATTTTTACTAAGGAAATACTCATGAAGGGGGAAAAGATATAGCCAAAATTCCATTTATTACAGCATTGTGTGGAAGAGCAGGGCACTGGAAGCAACGTAATTCCTAAATATTCAACAATGTATCTATTCATAATAATGAGATAGGAAAGACAGGTATCGATGGAAAAGAATATAATATAAAATCCAGAAATGGACCCAAATATATATGAGAATTTAGTATATGATGAAAGTGGTATCTCACATCAATGCATGGCAAGGACTTTACAAGAAAAAAAAAATCACAGACCAGTGTCTCTCATGAACGTAACATAAAAATCCTTAACAAAATATTATTACAGTAAATAGAATCAAACAATGTATAAAAAGGAAAATAAATCATGAACAAGTGGGCTTTGTCTTGGGAAGTATTTACAAAAAATTAATATTTGGTTGCTTGTGGGAAAAGTGTCTTGATAGCTGAGAGAGAAGGCTGGGAAGAAAATCTTCCTTTTTACCTTTTACCCGTTTCAAATTTTACCTTTTACCCTTTTCAAAAGTACCTTTTACCTTTTACCCATTTCAAATTTTGAGCCATGTGAATGTTTGCTTATCTAAAAGATAAATTAATTTTTAAATAATAAGATAGAAGAAAGTAAAATAATGTAGAAAACATTCATAGAAAATTGTTAGTTAAAAAAGAGATTTAAAAAAAAAGCCTAATTTTAATTTTATTTTTTAAGAATGTGCAATCCCTATGAAAATACCAATAAAAAATTCTTCACAGAAATAGAAAAAACAATCTTAAAATTCATATGGAATACAGAAGACTCCAAATAGCCAAAGCAATCCTAAGCAAAAAAAAAAAAAAATCTAGAGCCATCCCACTACCTGCCTTTAAGCTATAGTAATCAAAACAGCACAAAAACAAACACATGGACCAGTGAAACAGAACAGAGAACCCAGAAATAAATCCACATATTTACAGCCAACTGATTTTTGACAAAAGTGCCAAGAACATTCAGTGGGGAACGGACAGTCTCTTCAATAAATGGTGGTGGGAAAACTAGATATCCGCATGCAGAAAAATGAAACTAGACCTTTATCTCTTGCCATATACAAAAATAAAATCAAAATGGATTAAAGACTTAAATGTAAGACCTGAAACTATGAAACCTCTAGAAGAAAACATTGGGAAAACACTTCAAGACACTGGTATGGGCAAAGACTTTTTGGGTAAGACCTCAAAAGCATAGGCAACAAAAGTAAAAATAGAAAAATGGGATCACATCAACCTAAATAGCTTCTATACAGCAAAGGAAACAATCAACAGAGTAAAGAGACAACCTACAGAATGGGAGAAAATATTTACAAACTATCTGAAAAGAGAGTAATAACTAGAATATATAAGGAACTCAAACAACTCAAAAGTAGAAAAAAATCCAGTTTTAAAAATGGGCAAATGATCTGAATAGACATTTCTCAAAAGAAGACATACAAATGGCCAAGAGGTATATGAATAATGCTCAACATCATTAGTCATCAGAGAAATGCAAATCAAAACTACAATGAGCTCTGCTGGCTTTGGATTACTGGATGGAAAAAAAAAACACTACAACGAGACATCATCTCACACCAGTTAAAATGGCTTTTATCAAAAAGACAGACAACAATGAATGCTGGTGAGGAAGTGGAGAAAGGGGAACTCTCATATATTGTTGGTGGGAATGTAAATTAGTGCAACCACTATGGAGAACAGTATGGAGTTTCTCCAAAAAACTAAAAATAGAACTAACATTTGATCCAGCAATCTCACTGCTGGATATATATCCAAATGAGGGGAAATCAGCATATCAAGAAGATATCTGTATTGCCATATTTATCACAGCACTATTCACAATAGCCACGATATGGAATCAACCTACGTGTCCATCAACAAATAAATGGGTAAAGAAATAGGCCAGGCGTGGTGGCTCACGCCTGTAATCCTAGCACTCTGGGAGGCCGAGGCTGGCGGATTGCTCCAGGTAAGGAGTTCGAAACCAGCCTGAGCAAGAGCGAGACCCCCGTCTCCACTATAAATAGAAACAAATTAATTGGCCAACTACTAATATATATAGAAAAAATTAGCCGGGCATAGTGGTGCATGCCTGTAGTCCCAGCTACTCGGAAGGCTGAGGCAGGAGGATCGCTTGAGCCCAGGAGATTGAGGTTGCTGTGAGCTAGACTGATGCCATGGCACTCACTCTAGCCTGGGCAACAAAGTGAGACTCTGTCTCAAAAAAAAAAAAAAAAAAAGAAAAGAAATTGTAGTACATCTACACAATGAAGTATTGTATAGCCATAAAAAAGAATGAAATCCTGCCAATTGCAGCAACATGGATGGAAGTAGAGAACATCATGTTAAGTGAAATAAGCCAAGCACAGGACAACAGGACAACAAATCTCGAATGTTCTCATTCATATGAGGCAGCTGAATATTAAAAACAATTGATCATATGAACACAGAGATAGAACGGTGGTTACCCGAGGCTACAAAGGGTAGCAAGGAGCAGGGATAAAGTGGGAATGGTTAATGGGTGTAGAAATATGATTAGATAATTAGATATAATGAACAATATTTGATAGCACAACAAAGTGACTAGAATCAACAAGAAGTTAGGGTATACTTTAAAATAACTAAAAGAGTGGAATTGGAATGTTCCTAACACAAAGAAATGATAAATGCCTGACGTGACGGATACCCCAATTACCCTGATTCGATTAATTCACATTATATGCCTGTATCAAAACGTCACATGTACCCTATAAAGATACACAGCTATTAAGTGCCCCTAATAATTAAAAATAAAAACAAATCACATAAATGTATTGCCTTACAGTCCTGGAAGCCAGAAGTCTAAAATGTGTCTGTGGGGCTGCCTTTCTTCTGCAGGCTCTGGGGCAGAATACTTCTTTGCCTTTTAAGAGTATGGGGGCTGCCTACATTCCTTGTCTCATGGCCCCTCCTCCATTGCAAAGCTAGCAGTGTGGCATCTTCTCTCTCTCTCCAGCCTCCTGCCTCCTTACAAGATCCTTGTGATTACATCAATTCTACTCTAATAAACCCAAATAATCTTTCCATCTCAAGATGCTTACTTATAGTCATATCTGAAATGTTCCTTTTATGATGTAAGGTAACGTATTCACATATTGGGGACTGGGATGTGGATATCTTTGGGAAGCTATTATTGAGCCTACCACAACATTTATCACTAGTATTTACCAAAGTAACCGAGATACATAGGAGGCATTTGATAAATGTGCATTAATTAAATAAATCTTTGCTAAAATTGTGGTCTGATGACCATTAGTATTAGCATCACATGGGAGCTTGTTAAAATGTAGAACTCTGGTCTACCCCAAACCTACTGAATCAAAACTTGCATTTTAACAAGACCCCCAGGTGATTCTTATGCACAGTACATGAGAAGTATGGGATTAAATGATCTAATAATCAAAATAACAGTAGCTAAAATGTATCCAGCACTTGTAACAGATGTTTTTCATGCCTTCATTTTACATGCTCTGACACACCTCTAATTTCAACCACAGCTGCATTAAACATTTCTGTAAGAGTGCAGATTCCTGGCTGACTCCATCCAGTGTGTACTTTCTGCCCAGGGACTTCTCCAAAGGTGAGGGAGCCCACAAGTACAGGGACTAATACTCCTTGGGCAACCCTTCACCAATGATGATCTAGTGCTGGTGGACGAGTCCTTCTGCCTCCCAGTCTGGGGATGGATGATTCTAAGAGGCATTTCTACAGCAGGGATCTCAATAATGCTCCCAAATATTGGCTTTTCTTCCTTTCCTGTGTCACTCTTCCTTCTCTCTCACTCCTGATTCCTGGGATCACCTCCCAAATAACCCACTTGCCCCCAAGTCTTTGTCTTTAGCTTGGTTTCCAGGACAATTGCAATCAAGGCAGTACTTATTAAATTCCAGCCACTCTACCATGAATTTTATATGACTTATCTCATTTTATACTCACAGCACTGTATTTTTAAACTATTTTTACCCCCTTTCAGATGAAGAAACTTTAAAAGAGGTTAAGTAATTTGCCCAACTTCCTAGAACTAATGAATGGCAGAACTGGATTGCTAGAGTCCAGGCAGCTTGAGCCCAGGCTGTGTACTTAGTATACTACATTGCCTTCCCGGTGAGAATACATCATGGCTTACATGTGTACAGTATTTTCCAGATTAAATCTCAAAAGAATAAATCCTTTCATTCTCTAGACTGCTGGCAGACTAGAAGGAGAAATGGACCACAAGTTCCCAGTACCATTGAAGACTAGACTCAGGCATCATCTTGGTGATGATGCCTAAGTCTAGAGAAAAGAGAGAGTAAATAAAGCAGGATAGAGCAGGCTGCAGAGGATGGGTGGGAAGAAGTCATCCTACCAAAATCCGAGCTGCCATACCTTCCCCATGTGACTTAGGGGAAGGAGATCTATTGCCAGATCCAGACAGACAATCCAACCACTCCTAATACTTCTCAATAGGGCGCTAATGGCATTTTCAGCAGAACAATTCCTCATTTTGTGGGACTGTCCTGAACACTGCACGAGGTTAAGCATCTCTACATGCCACACAATCCCCAGCCCACCTAGGCCAGTCACTTTCCTAAGCGCTGTGACGACAAAAACTTCCTCATACATTTTTCAAAGCCCCCTAAGGAGTACCACTAGAACTCCAAGCCAATCTTCACAAAGTATCCCCCGGCTACTGTTACTGATCGGGAGATGCGGCCTAAGTTAGTCCAACTGGGCTGACATGGGCATCTTGCTCTTTGTCTTGATGGATATGAACAAAGAAGCAGATAGCACCAA